AAAAAAAAAAAAAATAGAATGCGTTTTCTGTTCCCCATGAGCTATTGCAGTGTTGGAAACTCGGAACTTCTTGCAATTCTTCTCGCCGAAGGTTCTTCGACGTTTGTACTTTTTTCTCGTCACACTCTGCTCAGCTGTTCTGCTGTTAGGATCCATTTGGGGCCCAACTGCCCAACATTTTTGTTTCTTGATTCTTGGTAGCCTGTGAAGATGGGGTTTTCATCAGCCGCTATTTCGAGCTCACTATGGGGCTGTTGTAATAATGGAAGAAGCCGTCCTCCTCAAAGAGGGTCAATAAAGATTTCACCTTTCGACAGCAATCACATGCTCAAATCGAAGAATCTCAAAATCTCCGAGGTTTTCAGTAAAGCCCAATCGACGAGGTCCACTTTCTGCGCTTCATCGGCCATTGATTTTGAGGAGAGGACAAGCCCTGCTGAGGTTAATTTTATAATACTTTTAATTATTTTCATACAATCTTGTGTCAGCGTTCTCTATGTCGAGCTGGGTGAACTGCTGGTTTTGATGGTTGTTTTGTAAGATGTGGTGGCGTTCTAGGGAGGGAAAGTCGATTTGGACTCAGTACCTTCCCGACAAGTACTGCCCTTGTGGAAGATAATCTGTTTGAATTGGTGTTAAAATGTACAGAATCTGAAAATTTGGCTTGGTATTCCATTGTGGTCATATTCTGTGGCTATGCTACTTTCTTTAGCTGTATTAACTGCTGCTACAAAGTTTATATATTCATTTGCTACCTGCGAAAGACTGCCCGTGTCGCGACAAGCAAGGATATAAATGACTGAAAAGTGGAGGAAGTAAATCTCTAAACATTACATGGAAAAAAAGGGAACATAATGATTTTGTTGAATGGACTGAAGATGTTTACATATTTATGTTTACATATTTTACATAAATGATGGCTGCTTTAGTTATTGCTCAAATGCATTAACTGGGGTTCTCGATCACCTGGCTTCGTATTTTTCTTTCATGGCCATATGCAATGCCGGGATGTACGTTTGAGCAATCTGTTGTTCGTAAGTATAATGATGTCCATTTTCTACGCCCTTGGAATAATGTAGTTTGGCTTGTTGGCTTGTCCTGTGTACTCTGTGTTGTATTCTAATTTATATGGTCGATGACCAAAATCTACACTTGGTTGTTTCCTAATAAAAACCCAGAAAATTTCCAAATAGAAACCCAGAAAATGTATGCTTACATGAATTCTTTGCGACAAACAGGTCAAGAAAGAAATCGAACAGTGCTATGAACTCATTCAAAATCTTGGCAGAGGGGCTGTCTACTTGGGTTCGTCAAGGTTGGGACCTAACCATCCACATTATGTACAAGCATTTGATTTGGCAGAAGATGTAAGTCTCTCTATCCAGCTTTACTCGAAACTCAGTTTCTTGCATATATTAACATTTATGAAAATTGCTTAATTCTATGCTCTCCAAGTTGCTTAATTTGATGTTTGCAGATTGCGAATCTCTTAAATTGTACTTCATGGTCAGGGGCGGGACCCGGGCTAATGGATGCGGTAACTAAAGGCGCTGTCCAATCAGGCAAGCCCGTTGGTGGATTAAAGATAGCTAAGGAAGCTGGGGAATGGACTGCAACTAATTTTCATCCTTACCTACCATCAGACAGTTATTTAACTTGCAGGTAATCAAATATATCACATCTAAACAGTTTTTAAATAATAATAACAACAATAAAAACATGTGCAGGTTCTTTTCTGCAAGAAAGCATGGTTTGGTCGATGCAGCTGTTAGAGTTAGTGAGTCAGACAAGACTGCAGTTATTGCTCTTCCGGGTGGAATTGGGACGCTAGACGAGGCTTTTGAAATTTTGGCACTCATTCAATTGAAAAGAATTGGGTCGACTCTTCCCGTTCCTTTCCTTCTGATGAATTACGACTCGTTTTACTCGAAGCTATTGGAGTTTATCGAGGATTGTGAGGGTTGGGGTACTGTCTCGAGCGGTGAGCTGGCATCGTTGTGGAAAGTGTGCAACACCAACTATGAAGCTTTGGCCTACCTGGCAGAATACTATGGGCTCTCCTACTAATAAAATGATGGAGACGAGACCGCGATAGCATTTTTAAATAAATATGATCGTCTTCGTATCTAGTATTTTATTTTATTAGTTGTCTTTTATTTAGAATTGGGCTTTCTTTGTTAATTGGGGGTTATTGGACCTTTATTTATTGGGCTTTGCAGTAGGAGTAAGTATCTGATGTATAAAAATAATCGTCTCTCATTTGAGAGAGCGGACTTGATGAATAACAATTGAAATTTATCGTAAGAATTGTACTTGTTCTTCCTGCTCATACAAACGCTCTACATCAGTTGGTATCAGCAGACCAGCAACGATCAACGATGCCGCCGAAAAAGAACGCCGTAATTGATCAAGCCATCGATGAACGCTTCCAACGGATCGAGGAGCAATTTCATGGAATGGACGAGAGGGTTACGGATATCTCTACGGGGATCGACGACTTGCGAGATGCGATGCGAACGTTGATGGAGGAGGTTCGTACGAATCGTGGCGCGGCTCACCGGGGCGCACACGGGGGATATCGCGGCGGTCGTG